TTAATTAATTAATTTTTTCACAGAACTGAGATCAGTCATGGCACAAAACAAAAGCGGCTACACTCGCTTGGAAAACCCCCCTGAGTTCAGCGCCGTGAATCCGCCGCCGCCTTATAATGCTGGCGTTCCCGTCGTCGTCAGACCCGCTCCACCCACCGCTTCTGGGAATCCCATGTACGGACAGGGAGGCTCCGGATATCCACAGCATCCCTATCCTACAGCAGCTCCTCACTTCACCGAAGCGTACCGCGGCGGACCGTACAAACAGCCGCTTTCTTACGGTGAGACATTCAGCATCACACGTGGCAGGTTTGACACATGCTCTTTGTTAATAAGCTCGAAACTAAGTTTTGTTTTGTGAAAGAAGTGGATAAACCGGGACACAGCGATCCTCCTCCAGAATATGAGAACAAGCAGTTCATCGGCTCTGGACTCGATAATGAAGCCGTCAGAAGACTGTTCATTCGGAAGGTAAACACTGATGCAGAGCAAACCAGTAAAAAATTCAACCGATTCTAAACAAGGGTCAAGTTCATTGGAAAGCATCATGTTTACGTGCATATTTTGATTAGAAAATTAGATTTTTTTTTATTTTAATTAAAGTTTTAGTTGTTTTGTTAAACGTTTTTGTCATTTTTATAATTTTTAAAAAATGTCTGAATAGGTTTTTTTTTATTTTTATGAATTTTTAGTTTTATTTAGATATTTTTCATTTTAATATTTTGTTTGTTTTAGTAATGTTTTTAGGCATTTGTCGTTTTAATTTTTTTATTTATGTCTGTGTAGCTTTTATTCATTTTTATTTCAGTTTTATTGTTAGTTATTTTAGTACATCAAGTTAAGCTAAATGAAAATGAGAAATATTTTAATTAGTTTCCATTTTAATTTTAGTTAAAGTTTTAGTAATATTTTTAGGTATTTGTCATTTTATTAGTCTTTTTTTAATATGCCTGTGTAGTTTTTATTCATTTTAATTTCAGTTTTAGTTTTAAGTGCATCAAGTTTAGCTAAATTAAAATTAGAAATGCTTGAATTATTATTATTATTTTTTTTTTTTTCATTTTAATTTTAGTTGAGGTATTATTAATATTTTCAGGCGTATTTGTCATTTTTATTAGTTTTCTTTTTAAACACGTCTGTGTAGTTTTTATTCATTTTTATTTCAGTTTTTAGTTTTAGTTTAAAGTACATCAGGTTTAGCTAAATGAAAATTAGAAATGCTTGAATTATTACATTTTTAATTTTAGTGGAGGTTTTATTAATATTTTTTATTAGTTTTCTTTTTAAACACGTCTGTGTAGTTTTTATTTATTTTTATTTCAGTTTTAGTTTTAGTTATTTTAGTACATCAAGTTAAGCTAAATCAAAATCAGAAACGTTTGAATATTTTTAGATTTTTTTGTTTAGATTTTTTATTTAATTTTAGTTAAAGTTTTAGTAACTTTGTTGTATGTTTATGTCATTTTTATTAGTTTTGTATATGTCTATATAGTTTTTATTATTTTTTTATGTTAGTTTTAGTTATTTTAAAATAAGGTTATATATATATATATATATAAAGAAACAGTTTTTCGTTCTAGTAGTTGTAGTGAATTCTAATAGCCCTGGTTTGTGTGCTGCAGGTGTTTTCGGTCTTGAGTCTTCAGCTGGCAGTGACCTGCGGCTTCGTGGCCGTCTTCACCTTCGAGCCTCACGTCAAGCTGTTCGTGATGCAGAACGCCTGGACTTACTGGGTCGGCTATGTTGTCTTCCTAGTGCCCTACGTAGTGATCCTGTGCTGCGGAGAGTTTCGCAGGACGCATCCGTGGAACCTCGTTTCTCTGGTGAATCTTTCATTTTAGCGTCTTTAAATGTAAAGCGTTTTGAATGCTCCGTTCCTGCGTTGTAACGCGCGGTTTCTTGCGTCTCAGAGTATCCTGACGCTAGCGATGTCTTACATGGTGGGCGTGATCTCCAGCTTCTACGACACTGATATCGTGATGATGGCCATCGGCGTCACTGTGCTGGTCTGCTTTACAGTCATCGTCTTCTCTCTGCAGGTCAGCGCTCGTCTTCACGTTTTAATACCCAGACACTTTCATTAACTGTTGGATTTCTATGTCTTTAATTGCAATGTTAATAAAAGTGCCGCAACCAAAAGATTGTCGAAAACATCTGCGCAGTGTTATTTTAGTATCAACGATACTATATTTTGAACATATCGTGATGATGGCCATCGGCGTCACTGTGCTGGTCTGCTTTACAGTCATCGTCTTCTCTCTGCAGGTCAGCGCTCGTCTTCACGTTTTAATACCCAGACACTTTCATTAACTGTTGGATTTCTATGTCTTTAATTGCAATGTTAATAAAAGTGCTGCAACCAAAAGATTGTCGAAAACATCTGCGCAGTGTTATTTTAGTATCAACAATACTATATTTTGAATGAATTATTTTTCCATTTTATTTATTTATTTTTCTGTAATTTAATTTCTAGTTTTAGTAATTTTTAGTAATTTAGTCATTTAATTTTCTTTTTTTTTTTAACAAAATGTCTAAATAGTTTTTATTAATTTTGAATTGAATTATTTTTCCATTTTATTAATTTTTCTGTAATTTAATTTCTAGTTTTTAGTAATTTAGTCATTTAATTTTCTTATTTTTTTTAACAAAATGTCTAAATAGTTTTTATTAATTTTGAATTGAATTATTTTTCCATTTTATTTATTTATTTTTCTGTAATTTAATTTCTAGTTTTAGTAATTTAGTAATTTAATTTTCTTTTTTTTAAACTATGTCTAAATATTTTTATTAATTAGTTTTAGTTATTTTTTAATTTTAGTTAAAATTTTAAGTTTAGTTTATTTGTTTAGTTTTAGTTATTTTAGTAGTTAAGGTTAAACGAAATGAAAATGAGAATGTTTCCCTGGCAACTAGCTGAAATAAATCAAATTTGAGTTTTTTTTTTTTATATTTAATTTTATTTCAGTTAACATTTATTTTATTTCAAGTGATTAAAATGTTTTTTTTATGGTTTTAGTTAACCCTGACTTCATAAATATATCTTTTATTGTTTTTATATAAATCTTTTATTCATTTTAATGATTTTAGTACATAAAGTTAAATTAACTGCCAACTATATTATATTTCAATTAAGTTTTATTTTATTCTTAGTAGCGAATGTAGTTTTTTTGATAGTTTAGTTTTAGTTAACAATAATAACCCTGCTCTCCTGCATTGACGTGAAGGGAACAAAGTGCTAAAAGTATTTCTATTGTATTGTTCAGTACTTAAATTCTAGTTATGGACTAACATCTTGTTCAGTAATAAAAGAATCGGAAGCACAAGAGATATGATTCCCATCCCTCGTCTACATGAGCTGATATTAATAAACGTCTCCTGTCCAATCACAGACCAGATATGACTTCACTTCCTGTTACGGCGTGCTGTTCGTCTGCTTCATCGTCGTGCTGTTCTTCGGGATCCTGTGCATCTTCCTGTACAACAGGATCCTGGACCTCATCTACGCGTCGCTGGGAGCGCTGATCTTCACCTGCGTAAGTCATCGCTTCTCTACAACACGTTCCTTCAGACGAGTTGATTAAAAGCTCAAAATTTATTAAATCATACAGATGTAAAATTCTAATAAATAATTCTTAAATAAAAACAATAAAAATAAAACACTTGCTAAAATGTATTGAATCAAAATGTAAAGTAAAAATAATAGTAAAAAATAGTAAAAATTTATTAAATTATAATGTATTGTTAAAATAAATGATTTAACAATCAAAAAACTACTGAAATGTATTAAATCATAAATGAATAATATATTATTAAAATAATTACTAAACAAGCAAAATAAAACATTACTAAAAGATACTAAATCATAATGTAAAATTAGTAAATAAATGCTTTATTAAAATAAATAATTTAAACAATAAAAATAAAACATTACTAACAATGTATTCAGTTATAATGTAAAATAAAATAAATGAATTATTATTACAATAAATAAAAAACAATCAAAATAAAACTCTTACTAAAAATGTATTCCATTATAATGCAAGATAAATAAATAATTTATTATTTATATTATTATTGAAATCAATAATTTTACAATTTAAATAAGTTTAAATAAACACTAAAATGTTACATTATGATGTAAAATAAATAAATTATTGTTAAAATATATTATTTTACAACAAAACACTGAATACTGAATACTAAAAATTTATTCAATTATAATGTCAAATAAATAAATAATTTATTATTAAAATAAATCATAAAAAAAAAAAAAAAAATTTATAAATTATAATTTTCAATAAATAATGTATTTTTAAAATATATAATAAAAACACTT